TCTCTCTCTCTCTCTCATTCTCTCTCTCTCTCTCTCTCTCTCTTTCCTCATTTTATACCCCTACTTTCGCCGTCCCCACCCCCTCCCCCACTCACACCACTGTAAACATTTTAATATAATGTGAAAGAGCTGAAATATGGTAGTGTCAAGAAACAATATTAAGATTAATGTATGATGGAAGTTACTGAGTTAATAGAAACTGACTTGAACGGCATAGAAAAAGAAACACTACTAGAGTCTACGCTAGAAAACAAACTGAAAGTGAGAAGCACAATAAACTGCTGGTCATGGCCTCCGGTACTTTTACTTTCTACACACCCACACACACTATCGACGTGCACTCGACCTGTAAATATGTAATAAGAACAGTACTGTATGATGGCAAAAAGTCAATTGATACTGTACCAATGACGCAGTCCCATGCAGATTAAGATTAAGTCTACGATCAGATACTATAAAAAGCTGGACAAAGTTAGCACACAACAGTTTTCAATCATTATGTAATCAAACATTCTTCATCACACTTCTCAGTTCTAAGAACACTGTTGTAACAAAGTGGGGAAGTGTGTCAAATGCTAAATATAGAACTTGGTGTCTAGCTGAGGTGACGGTGGATAAGGGGAGAGAAGGGAGGGGGTAGGCCCTTTGTTTTCGGTCCAGACTGACAGCCGAGAGCCTATCGCTCCTCGTTATAATTCTTCTTATATAGCTTCACTAGACGATTCCTCTCTTCGCCGGCTAGACTCATATGGGCCAGGTACGTTATTATTGGGGAGAAAGCGATGACTAGTCACCAAACAGGAACCAAAGTGGCTAAAAATTCAATAAACAAAAAAGATTAGTGCCATGCTGACAATAAATGTTTTGATGATAGTTAGAGAAAGGCTGAATGATAAGTACATGTATTGCTGATGAAATATTTCATGTGTCTGTGCTGCTCAAGACTCAAGACAGTCTCATTACCGATTTTGTAAGCAACACGGAGGTCAACTTGGCAATCTAGGGATGTTTATATTCGCTCTTTGTAGTCTCAGGACAGTCGATGGATTTGTCCACCCACCATGTTCGTTTGTCCTCATACGAAGTTCCGCTACGTGACGGCTTGACGGCTTGACGGAGACTATTATAAAGTTACGAGCCGGTGCAATCAGTGGCGGTGGGTAGTGAAGGGCTCACGGGCTTGAGCCCCCCCCTCCCCCCCCCCCCAACTCTATTCCAAAGCAAATGAAAATAACGAAATAAGCAGTTGAAACCGTTATGATCGTACGGAATAAACACAGAGTAATCAACTTGCCTGCTTGCTCGTGTATCCAATCACTGTTGTCCCTGCTTACAACTATAGTAACCTAACAGCCAATCAAATTTCTTTAGGGCTCAGCAAAGATGAGCCGGTTCCCATGGGCCCTCGTTAATGAAACTCTTCTTGTAAAAAGGTAGACGACTTGAAAAAAATAACACTGCACCGAGGGCTCACCCTGTCCTAGCCCTGACAATGGGGTGAAAGTTTACGCCACACTTTCCCCCAGTGACACAGTTACCTACGCTCCCATTGGACCTTTGTTAGGTGCTGTCTACTTTCCTCGACTACACGGCCTAATCCAGCTCGTGGAGTGCTGTGTATAAATGTTTGTGTGTGTGCCGCTGAGATTTAACAGTTATTAATTACATCAAACCCCTTTTGAGGCAACTTTTTCATCAGATGAAAATTAATTAAAGACGTTTGGAGGTTTCGTCCCCAGCATCCAGAAGAATTTAACGTAGAACAAAGAGAAGGAAGGCAAAGGTGACTCTTCTCGTTTGAATTGTTCTCAAAATGCCGTGGCTCGCCGTGAGTATGGAAAAATCACCATTGTTTTGTTCTTATTGCTTGCTATTTAGAGGTAAAGAAGTGAAAGCAATCCAAGCCCCACCCAAATTTTAGTCCACCCACCGTCACTGGGTGCGATAAACAAAGGTGACGGAATGAGGCTCTGTCGCGACAAAACAGCAGTGAATCCCACTTGTCTATTTGCACGCCTTCAAATCGGCAAGGTGCTTTTTGAATATTGATACATGTTTATTCGGATTTACTTAAAACTGAATGAAAATAATCATCGGCAATAAATCTCTTGTCAACAGTCCAGCTGACAAAACTTTGACCGGCACCGCCGGACTTGCCCAGTTAACAAACCGCCCCTGAGCGCGCTCATATGCAGTTGCAAGGCTGTCGTCAATTTTTGGGCATGTAGAGTTATTGGTATCATCTTAAAGCTTGTTCATTTGTCTTTATTTGGATGAAACAAATGTCCATTTATCTTAAATACAAATGGAGATATTTGCGAATGAAGGAGGTGGGGGGTCACCTGTTTTCAGAGGAAATATCAGTGAGAAAATAGCCGCCAAAGATTGGTTATTTCCTTAGCTTAAGAGTCCGTGGTAGCTGAAAATTTCTTTTTTTTGTGCCTTTAATCAACATTTTTCAGAAAAATCCACACAGAAATGAGTTTTTTAATGGGCATGAAAGGTGTTGAGCCAAAAAACAAAAATTTGATAAAAATTCACAAACCTGCGGAAAAATGCAGGTTTGTTCAATTTGATTATTTTGACGAGAGCCAGATTCCACAACACTGCCTCATATATATATATATATATATATATATATATATATATATATATATATATATATATATATGTAAATATATATATAAATAGATAGATAGATAGATATATATATATAGCTATATCTTTATATACATACATGCACACACATATACACATATATATATATATACATATATATTATATATATATATATATCTATCTATCTATCTATCTATCTATATATCTATACATATATATATATATATGTTTATATATAAATATATATGTGCATACATACAAAATTATATACGTGATATCGCTTAAAAGTGACCCCTCCGCCCCTCCCTCCCCCCTCTCATCCTTACTTCTTTACTTGTTTCCTCCCAGCGTGGTCAAGGTTGGAGACCATGGTCTGGTGTTCGGAAGAGACAAAATAATGGCAGAAGTGTACAAGGGTGGCCCTATCAGGTGAGCATATTAGCTATCCCGCTCGTCAACTCCCTCCTCCTCCTGCTCCTCCTTCTCCTCCCCCTCCTTTGAACACAGAAACGAGATAGATAATGAAAGGATAATAGAACGATAGTTCGCAAAAAAGCTGGAAAACAATGAGGTTTACTTTTTTTGTTATAAACAATACCTAAAAGAAAATTCCATTTAACCTTTAGCTGTAGCAGCAACCATTGACCCCAGAGTATCCAGATTTGCGTGTCAGCCTTATTCAAAGACCAATAATTCTGGTAAGTTTCAAGTCAGTGGCTGCTCTGACAGCTGAGATATTCGATCCAATGTGAATGTAACATAGGAACGAAAATCCAACGAAACCTCACAACAACCACGAGTACTATACATCCTATTTACCCTGTTCCTATTTACTTTTTCCTTTCACGATCTCTCTCTCTCCCTCTCTCTCTCTCTCTCTCTCTCTCTCTCTCTCTCTCTCTCTCTCTCTCTCTCTCTCTCTCTCTTTCTTTCTCTCTTTATATCTCTTTCTCTTTCTCCCTCTGTTCATATATATATATATATATATATATGTGTGTGTGTATAAATGTTATATTATGATTTATTATAACTAACTTGTGTTGCAAGTGCCGTAAAACTCTTACTAAAAATAAAAACTCATGGTT